AAGAGTCCGATATCTTTTTCCAGATGGAAGACGCAGACGTCACAGAGTTCTGGAATGGTTGCCACACGATTCTTTATTGTTCCCTTTGTTTGTTGGTAACCTTCACAACGTGTCCAGCTGTGCTGACACACTCACTGGTTCCAACATTGAACCCCTGTGACATCTGTTAGGCCAACAAGCTCAACAAAATCCCAACCTCAAACAAACCGAAAGCAGGACCCCATCAAACTCCAACGAGTCCAGGTCAGGGTGTGTGATGTTTCTCTGCTGGTGTTATCAAAACTAAAGTCGACTTTGTTCGATTGAGGAAGTTATAACATTTGTTACATTTCCAGCTGGTGTGGTTCACTTTCACACTGCACGGTGTCAAACAAACGTTTTTGGTTCGATTATGCATTCACACCTCTCCCAGTGAACTGGATTTTCTAGGTGAATGAACTAAAGTTCAGACCAAACAGGACTGGTGTGAATGCACCTCAGGGTGTTTTCACACCTGAAGCATTTAGTCTGTTTAAAATGGAGAATAGGGACATTTCTCCACTTGGTGTGGAATCCCAGCTACCACTCTAGGGTGCAGTCCAAAAGAACCATAGCAAGGCCATTTAAAAGAGGTGGTCTTTATGGTTCCTAATAAATAAAGTTTATTTATGATGTGAACGTGATATGACTTGATCTAAAACAGTTACCAGGTATTTGCTACTAGATGCCTTCTGATGTCCAGAAAATCATTTGATTGTCGGATGCAGAAGAGTAAACAAACTACTAAAACATCGGCGATGCATCTTTTTCTTAAAGACTAAAGCCTGATGCTGCTTTCAAGACGCCTTCTCAAAATCATTCGGTTTACTTCACTGATAAACATCAAATAAAAAAACAAAACTGGGTCAGAACACAGCATCTGCTTTCTGAGTTTACATTTTGCTCTCCACACACGGACACATCTGACCAGTAAACAGACCGATCCTTCTCATGTGGTTCGTACTGACAGGTTCTGGTCGGCATGGCATTTTTTCCGTGTGAAAAAAAACTTAACAATGAAGCATCAGAAAAGTTTCACTCCTAAAGTGATTCAGATGCTTTATGTCGAGGTATGAGATGAGACACACCACTGAGTTCACAAAAATGAGAATTAAAATTTTTTTTTTTTTCAAAACTAAGGATTATGTATTGTTTTGTTTTTGGGTTTTGTTATTGTTTGCATAAAAATAAAACTTATAAAAATATAAAAAATTCTAATTTTCAAAAGAAAGATTTTGAACATGCAGTACCACTGATGGCTACTAGGTGCTGGATTCAAGAAAACTTTGGCTAACTTTGGAAAGAAAAATACACAGACATGTTGAGCATGTCTGTGTATGCCAAAAAAGGACTAATCAATCAATCCTGTTTTGATTAGTCCACAGATTTATGTTCTGATGCTTGTCAAATACTAAATTGTTTGTAATGCCAGAAGACTGGTCAACATTCTCACTTTTGTGTTTTCTCAAATAGAATACAGGCTTTAATTACATTGTACTTTAAGAAACCAATGCTCTTCATTACACGTACGTCGGTTTTTGAACCGGACGTTCAAATGCAGTAACACACTAAAACTGTGAAATGTCCCTTTTTTAAAGCCAGAAACAGACTGATGGTCGGCTCATTGCAGTAGTCTCCACTCCTTGTGAAACTTCCCAAAAATTCTTGAATGGACTTTGCTTGACAATCCTCTGATTGACAATCCTAACACACTTTGTCCTTCCACTCAACTTTCTGTGAAAATGCTCCAACTTTTTTACAATATTTGAACTGTCTGAGGATTTTTATTATTTGTAAGCCATGGTCATTAATATTACATGAAGTAAAGGCTTGAAATATTTCACTCTATGAAATTGTGTCATACACAAGTTTCACATTCAGAAATATGTAACAAAATATTTAATATTTTCCCAACATAATTTGCTCTTTAGCTGTAAATGTATAACATAAAATCTCAATAAGATAAGTGAAAGTTTGCATTTGTAACATGACCAAACGTGAAAACTTGAATATTTTTATGAGCAGCACATACCTGCCAGGGAAAATCTGTTTTGTTACTGGGTGCTTTATCGTTTTTGTTATGTTGGATTGTTTTCTCCAACGACCAGGAAAGAATGAAGAGACCACGACAATCAGCCTCACCTTCCTGCTTCAACTCCTCATAAAGTTGCCTGGATCAGTACTGTTTGTACAACCAGTTAGAAATCAAAGTTAAACTGAGATTTCATTCGTCCACCATGGTGAATGAATGTGTCTTGAGCACATTTTCGCACTTTTGTTTTTAGGAGTAAATCATGACTACCACGCAAAAATATAATAAAAGAGGGTGGAGAAGCTGACAATGAAACCTCTAACTGTTTTTCTTAGAGCTGCGATCCTTAAACGACCCACTGGCTTTTAAAAAGCAATAATTTAATTCTACATTAGAAGCATTTGTCATATTCTAACAGAGGTAATTTATGATTGAATCATGTCATTTGTTAGACATATAGAAATGCACAAGTATAATAAAATAAACTAACTTGTGAAGCAGATATTTATTTATTTTTAATCTTTAAGAAAGATTTGTTGGATTTTCCTTGGATTTAAAAAAAAGGGATCTGGTGCCAAACCTTGAAAGCCAAATAAATATTTCCAGCTAAGCCCAGGAAGAGAACAATTATGCACCGGTTCTGCTCCAGAGTCAGATCGGGTCCAAACCATCCGCAATATTTATGTGGAAATTTGTGACGAAAATCAGAAGAGACCCATTGTTGTGAAGAGCAGTTGAACGGACGACCGTCGAGCTTCTTCCTCCTGGCTGAATATAAGAAATCAAGTGACTTTCTATGGCCGCCACAATAAAATTTGAGACTCCGATTTTTGAGGACTTGATGTTCCTCGGGGACAGAATCTGATGCACGGGTTCATAAGTCAATGTTGCTATGGTAACTTTTTAACTTTTGACAACAACATTTGAGTTAGATGGCAGCAGAGTTGACAGATGATCCACTTTATTCATTTAATTTAGAAGTGTTCAGCTCTGTCTGGGAGTCATGCTGCTTCTGTTAGGAAACGTTCGATGGAAATCCACAGCCAACTGGGCTCTAATTTTTTATATTGTGTAAAACCTAAGCAGTATTTTTACAAATTTTGAAAATTCATTTTGGATTAATGTGAAGGAAAAAAAAACATTTTAGAGATGTGGAAAAACAAATACCTGTTTCTTTTAGTAGGTTAGCTTTGAAAAGTTCTGAAGATAGTCATTTGAATCATCTTTGTGAATATACAAGGAGATTATTTTTGCTCTCTGGAGGTTGAATTGGTTGAATTCATGTAAATATTTGTGCATGAGTGAATATCTGTAGGTTCAACTTGCTAAGTTGCTAAACTTAGAGCATTTTAATTGATGCGCCGACATAAAACCCAAAGCACTGCCCATTCTGATAGGGTTCTTCTAATCATTAAACACATTAATAAACACTTAAAATCAGATATAAGCATATTTAAAAATTACTATTTTGTCATATATGTTATATATATAACATATATATTATGTATATATTATAACATATATATTAGTGAGACATTATTCAATGTCTCACTAAATCAGACAATAATCTTTTAGTTCTGCGTCAGTTAGGATTACCAAAATTATTTCTATCCAGAATAATTTTTAACTAAATAAATAAATATTTGATAGAATTGTGTTTTAAACCAAATGACTCGGATCAAACATTTTGTGTTGCTGGAATTCTGGCCCATTCCTTCTGACTTAATTGGTGTAACTGGGCCGGGTTTATGGGCTGCCGTGCTCACATTCTGCTCTGCTTAATCTCAGAATTACCATAAAATGTTTAACAAACAATCTTTGAGGAATGTTCTGCATTCTTAGCAGTTAGAATAAATACCGGTTAATTTACTAAAATGCACAGAGTTGCATTTGATGTGTGAGTTGAGTCATCTTGAATCTGATGGTGCTCATGTATCTGAACCACATCATTCTTATATTAATTAATGGGAAAAGAAAACAGTAATTGGCACTTTAGGAGTTCCGTACAGGATGTGCTTTATTATGGCAGGGAGACATTAAGTTTTGAGAGGTTTCTGAGCAATAAAAAAGGAAACTTTGACAAATGCAGCCTAATCAGGACAGATTTTTCCCAAACATAGAAGAAACCGTTCTATTGTAGATTTTTACAGATTCTGACACTTTTAATTTAAAGATTTAATATTTTGGAAATCTATCATTGATTTATTTAGGAAGTATAATCAGGACTGGCCCAACATTGTACCTGAATATCTTGTTTCAAGCCAGTTTTGGTGAAACTGGGAGAAGTTTGTAGAGTTTAACTGTTTGAGATTAAAACCAATCAGGGTCGCTACGAGTTGAGATGTAAATAAAAAAAGTAGAAAAATCAACCCTAGAATTCCCAACATGCTATATGAATTACAGCACAGCAGAGAGATGGGGTGGAGAGGGATGAGCAACACCACATGGAGGCTGACTGACAGCGCTAAGACCCTCCTCCTGGCTCTGATTGGTTGCTTCTGGTTGGCACAGGAAAAAGGCAAAGAAGCTTGATTTGTTTTTCAGATTGTCTGACTCATACCATACTGTCACTAAATAGTGACAGTTTCAACAAATATGTAAATGTATAAATATACATTCATGAGTTATGTACGGCAGCTTTAAATCCAAATGTTTTCAACTATTTTTGCCAAACATTTGCAATAACCTGAACCTGCATCATCAAGAAAAAAAACTGCACAGATTTTTTGATTTTGCATGAAATTCCACTAAAAACTGGCGGGACTGGTTTTAGCGAGTAGCTTACCTTGCTTATGCCTTAGGCCGGCTCTGTGTATAATTACAAGAAATGCCACAAAAGTATTTGTTTTTTCTTCGTTCACTGGATCAAACAGTTTTAGTGTGTTTAGTAAAAACTTTTAAAAATATGAAGTTTTGCATGTTAAATGTAGACAGAAGCTTTGTGTCCTACCTGTCAGTGAGTGCTGGCTGTGTGCCACTCATTGGGCTTCCCCCGGTCAGCTCTCGCAAACTTCACCCAAGTAACATTTGCATAACAGCGGCTTTATTTAGTCTCCATCTGCTTTGAGCACGTCTCAGTCCGCAGGCGGCTTCACCGTGAAGCTCTGAGCAAACCAGCTCCTTTCAGCCAGGAAGTTTGTTTTCTCCTCTAGAATCCATGGAAGCGAAAGCAGCGGTGATGCTGCTGCTGGAGATCCAGAGGAACTGTCGGGATCTCTGGGGGGGTTTCAGAAAGCTGCCGCTGCTTGCGTCAGAAAAGACATGTGGAAAACTTTAGGAGCTCCGTTGATACTCTATTATTTCCCCGTCCTCAGATAACCTTCGATTTGTAAAGGAGAAAATCCTTCATTTTTCCGCAGGAAATACTTCCATGTTGACCCTCCTGTCTTTTCCTGGTGTCCCGGAGAAAATTACGTCAAACTTTGGCTTCCAAAAGTCCAAATGAACTTTCTGCTTTTATTTCCGCTGGTCTGCAGGCGTCTGGTTTCCGGACGGCTCCTTCAGCTGATGGATGGTCACTTTAATGTTCTTCTCGATGCCCAAACTGCTCTGGTTGTTGCCCCGATAAAGCATGATGCCAATGGAAAAAGGAAGCGCTTTGTACCCCCTCCCCAAAACACCGAAAAGTGAAGAAACCCACCTTCCTCCCGACGCATTCAAGGACTGCTCGTATTTTTCTAAACTCATAATTATTCTTCTCTTTTGAGCTTACTTTCGGTTACTGGTGATTAAACCCATTGTCTCTGCGCATGAAAAAAAGAAAGAAGTAGAAATAATAATAATAATAATAATAATAATAATAATAATAATAATAATAATAATAATAATAATAATAATAATAAACAGCAGATAATTAATCTTAAAATAATTTTTACAGTAAATATGGCAGTTGACTTTTTAAATTTATTACATATGTTGTTATAAATGATATTTAATTAATACAAATTAATGTAAAAATATTGACATTTAAACACAGTAACATAAAATGTATTTCATGTGAACTTTATTGAGTTTAGTTGACATATTTTTTTATACATTTCTCTAAATATTTTCTAAACATTTACAATTTTCGTGACTGTTTAAGTTTTAATATTTTATAACAAAATTGTAACAGCACTTAAACATATTGTAGATCTGATGTAATTGTTTGCTTGATGTAATAATTTATTAGGTATAATCGGAGGAAATTCTGATTAAATATTGCTTAACTTTTCCTCGATCTAGTTTTTTGTGCCCACTTTTAAATATTTCCATATTATGATTTTTTTATTACAAATAATTGGGTGAAAATAAATACGTTTGCAGAAATTTAGCAGATATTTTATTCTATGGATTTAAATGTAAATTTTAGTTTGTTGTTTTCTTAGCTCAGTGTTTATATCTTCAAATAATTATATTTACTCATTTGTATTTATATTTATGCTTTTTTTTTAACTAATTCTCACAAATGCTGATGGCCTTTTGTCCATGCATGCGTTTTCTTCCAGATCACAAATTTCAAATACTCTATCACATATCCCAATAACATAAGAAGTCTGTGACTGTAATATAACAAATTGCACAAACAAAAACAAAAACAAAAAAATATCAAAGAGAATGAATATCTTTGAAAGGCACCAGTCTGTGAACTTAAACATATAGGTGTATTTCAGGAAATTGAAATATGTATTCCAATGAGGCTCATTTGTCAGATTAAACGTACCTTTTGAAAATAACCTTTAACCAGGTATACTTGCCTTTGGCCCAAATTTCTGCATTAAACTGTTTTAGTTAGTCTGTAGTATTCTTATCCAAGAAATTGAATGGAAAGTTTTCAATATCCATTTCTGAAAAATCGCTCTAAATAGGAGTAAAGGCTTATGAAAACATAAGTCTCTGTGTGACTAATCTATATAGTGTTTAATTGAGTGAATGGGGTTACTGAAATAACTCAATTCACCCAGAAATCATACTGGTCAGTACATTAACCAACCAGTAGATGGCGGCGGAACATTTCTCCACCACAACAAATCCTCAGCATCTTCACGTGAAGAAGACATTTTCTGTCCAGCCACTGAAGCTGAGCAGTCAATATAAACATTGGGACGTCTTCGGGATATTTGCGTATTTTTTATTACTTTAGACTTTAAATTTCTGCGTGGTTGCTACAGAATTGCAACATGGCGTGGTAAAATGACCAGGTTTTCGTATCGAGTCCTGATTGCGTGGATTATAAACGCACGAAGGCCTTGATGTTGTCCTGCTAACGGAAGGTAAGAATTTATTCGGTTCATAGAAACAGCTAGCTGGCTAACGAGACACCGCGGCTAAAAACTGGTTTATGCTCAGTTTTGATTCATTGGCTGAAGCCATAGCTGGTCTTTTCCTAAACATAAGACCAGCTCTTTCAAGAAATGCGTATTTTCTGGTGTTTTCTGCAGCGCAGCTGAGGTTTTGAAGTGTTTTGACTCAGCTCTACGTGGGGGTCGTTGTTTGCTGCAGAACTTCACCAATTGGATTCTATTTTTAAAATCTTTTTTTCTGTGATGTATATCCTCACCCTTTCGGGTCAACGTTTATAACAACTACTATTATTAGATTGTTGTGTGACTTTTGGGCTGAATATTTTGGTTGCAAACAGCTGTTGAGCTCAGCAGCGGCCTGGTTCTGCTGGTTCTGGCCATCAGAGAGGCCCAGTTCAGGGCTGTAGCATCATCAGCTGTCACACAGTTACAACCTGCTACGAGCTCTTATTGTGAATCTGGGCTTTGTATTGCACATGGGCATGAATGTTATAATAATTTGGGCTGTTTAATGATTTATTTCAACCAATCTATTTCAGAAGTGGTAACATTTATTTCAATTAGTTGGTCTTCTTGACACTCAAAAGTTTTCTTGATGCTAGCTTAACCATCTAGTTGTTGATTCGAGCCGAAGTTAAATGTTTTAGGGGTAGTTTTCCTTCATTTTTCTCTCTATTGTGTGCAATGAACCAACCAGAACCGCTGGCAGCAAACCCACACTGCATCAGAATGTTGGTACCTGGTTCTTTAGAGATGAGATTATCAGGCTTTTACTGCCAATACATTAACCAACACAAGGAAGAGCAAAAACCTACTGCAATGCAACAGAAAGACAAGAGAGTAAAATATTATTCCATGTGTCCCTAAACTCCCATCTAAATTTTACTGATCTCAAAACAAAATACACAGAAGACACTGCCTGTTGAAGTGACGATGAAATGAAAAAAAAAATTCAGTTTGAAAAGAAAAAAACTGACAAAACCCAGATGTTTACTAATGTTATCTTTTGATTTGAAGTCTTCAATGATTATCTTTTGTATTTAAATATATTAAGAGGCTCTAAATTCAATTTGGATTTAAATTAGTTTAGTAGTCAAAACTGACAGAAGTGCATTCATTTGTGACAGAAATTAGGAAAAAATACAGTCTGAGCTGCTTTCCAGACCTCCAGTTTAAAAACAAAACTGCAGCTCTGTATGCAGCAACAGTTAATTTCCAAGCAAAGTTTCTTTCTGTCAGAACTTGGATCAATGACAATGCATTAAAATTCATGGTGGTTGCAATTTTATTGGATTTGTTCCACTTGTCTGTCAGTAAAATAATGATTGGGTGACTGACCTGTCTCATTGTTCTATCAGCCAATGATCCAACTGGAGAAACCAGTTCTGACTGGTACCATGCCGGTGGTGTGGCCCACCATCCTCGACCTGGGAAGGGATGAATGTAAAAGGATTCTCCGTAAACTTGGTAAGGTTGACAAACAAAGAATCAGAAAGAAATCATCATTGATAACAATACACAAAGCCTTGTAAGCTTTAGTTGCTGCTGTTTCTCTAAATTTTTTAATGTTTCCATATCCAGAGCTGGAAGCATATGCTGGAGTTATTAGCGCCCTGCGAGCTCAGGGAGACCTGACGAAGGACAAGAAGGACCTATTGGGAGAGCTCACTAAAATTCTCGGGTATTTACTTCATACAGCTTTCAAATGTTGCACAGTCAAAGAAAAAAACAATTATGAATTCATCAGAAGAACTTTTTATAGATTCAAATGAATATATTTTCTGTCTTCCTCATTCTCCAAGCATCTCGACGGAGCGCCACCGTGCAGAAGTCCGCAGGGCCGTTAACGATGAACGCCTCACCACCATTGCATATCAGTAAGTTCAGATCCATGTGAGCTTCAGCCGTGTTTGTGCAACCAGTGGAGATGCAATATGGAGCAAGTGTCTGTTAATTGTCGAAGGTGCAGAATACCACAGATGTTAATAAGCAACATGTTGTTATCGCTGACCAGGTTCCCACAGTCTTTAAAAAGATGGATTTTACTTGTAGTATTTTCCAGTTGTGGATAAGGACACAAATAGATCAAATAGAATGTAAAATTTGAGCTCCTTTCCTGACTCCTACAGTTTTTTGCTTTTAAATTCACCAATTATTGCATATAAAACAAACAGTGCAAACAAGCAAAAAGAGGTATTGTTTTTTTGTTTTGTTTTTTGGGGCAGTTATTTCTTAATGTTTTTTTTTCATTTTCTTCAATATTTCTTATAGTTTGTGTTTCTGAAACTGTTAATTTTTCTGATGCGAGTCTGTTTTTCTACATATTTAGACACATGTGACTGATAGTTTGATCTACTCACTGTTGCTCTGCCTTTTCTGCAGCATGTCTGGTCCCAACAACTCGTCTGAATGGTCAATCGAAGGCCGTCGGCTTGTTCCTTTGATGCCCAGGTTGGTCCCTCAGACGGCCTTCACAGCCACAGCTAATGCTGTGGCCAGCGCCACAGCCAATCAGAACGCCTCCCTTTTGTTACCGGCAGAAACGGGAAACAAAGAAGGTAAAGTTCTGAAATCAATTTCTTTTATGTCACTTTTCAAGGGGAAAGTTGATATATATATTTTTTTAGCTTAATCAAATTGTAAGTTTTTGAAGATTTCATTTTTGGGAAATCTGACTTTTGTTTCACCAAAGCACGTCTTTGCTCTTCATAGTTCAGAGTGATGTCAGCACATGTGAGGCCGCCATCTTGTTTGAGAATCGTCTTTTACGGCTTCTGTTTATTTGGACTTTTTAATCAACTATATGCACTAAGTTTGTTTTTGTTTTTTTCATTAAAAGCAAAGTCATAATATTACAAGAATACAGTTGTAGTAATACAACAATAAAGTTGTAATACTAGCATAATAAAGCATAATAATATTTTGAGACTATAGTATTGATTTTTTGAGGACTCAACAAAAAAAAAAGTATTAAAGCCTTTTGTTCTCATTAAAATTACCTTTTTGCTACAATTGTATGACATTTTGGGGGGAAAATTGCACCATTATTCTGCAAATTATTCTCATAATTAAACAAAAATTCTTGTAGCCATTGTTGCTATGAGTTGAACAATAGTCATTTGTCCAACCCATAGCAGGGATGACTGAAATAAATGCCACTTTTTGAAAATGTTTTCTGTCATTTTTATTAAAATAGGAAATCAGGACTGATATCTGAGATTTTATTTTTAAGCCATGTCACCAAGGGCTTGACTACACAGTAAAGACAAAAAGATCGACCAATTTGGTAAAAAACCAATTAAACTGAAAGATAAAATATGTGGTAGTAAT